CCCGACCAAAGCATCGCGCGGCCTCACCCGCAACCCACAGACCGTCGAGGCTGCGCCGACCGCCCACAGCGTTTCAAGCCCCTCCGGCCTGGCAACCGCTCCAGCACCGCCTGCAAACCGGCGCGCCGGCCTGAACAGCTCATCCCGTCCACGAGCTCCAGCCACCTTCGCCATCCAGCCACAGCCTCTCTACCCTGCTCCTCTCCGCCTCCTGCAAGCCGTCCTGTCGCATCGTCACCGATGCGCCCGACGAGCTCCAGCAGGCCACGACGCCGCGTCTCTGGCGCCATGGCGACGCGCCTCCCCTCAGTCCCGTAACAAACTCCGGTCAGCCTCCACCTCAGATTTCTCCTTCGCCGCCTGCCGACGAGCAGCGAGCCCAGCTATCTTCGACGCCTACAGCCACCCTTCGTCGCCGACGAACCCCCACCAGCCCGATCTCGCCCAGAACCCGAGCTCCTCGCGACGCTACCTCCGTCTCCGACCACCGCAGTTTCCGTGCGAAGGCTCACCAGCATGCGCCCCGCTCTCAGCCCCGACGAACGCCCAAACCCCCGACAACCCCGAAGAACCCCTCCGCCTCGCCGTCGAGCTCACTGCCAACCATTGCCTCCATTGCACGCCACGTGTTCGACGAAATGCCAACGCATATCCAGCTGCAGAACCGCCACATTCTAGCCGTCAGCGAGCCCGTCGGAGCCCCGAGACATACCAACGACACCCGAGGCAAGATCCCGCTCTTCTTGACTCGTCATTTCCTATTTATATCTGTCGTTAATTAGTTGCATAAATTAGATTATGAATTATTATTATCTGCGTGGGCTTGTTGATGAATTGAGAATTATCTGTTTATGTTAATTTATGATCTTATTGTCTGTGTGGATTTGATGAATAATATTAAATAAATTGTAATTAGGTGATAAATAGTATTTTTCAGAATAATTATAATAGACTAAAATAATTTATTTCGTAAACGGAATTCTTTTTTGGATAATTATGTTAATTAAAAAGAATTTATTTGAGAACGAAATCATTTTAGGAAAATTATAATAATTTAAAAGGAATTATCTTTAGAATAATTATAATAATTTTTAGAAATTATCTTGTGGAAGAAATCATTTTAGAATGATAAATATTTTTAAAAAGAAATTATTTGGGAAAATAGAATATTGTGAATTAATGAGAATTTATCTTATTTTTGAATTTATGAATTTATTATTTTAAAAGATTAATTCTAGAATTATTATAATGAGAAAATAGGAAAATAAATTAAAGGAACCTATGTTGCAAAAGGATTAATTCAAGTAAATAAATTTATTATTTTATAAGATTATTTTAGAACAATTTTATGATTCAAATTCTTAATCTTGATTATCTGATATGCTACGATATTATCACACGTGATTAGTTGCATTGATTGTTCCTGGCTGTGTTTGAGAACCTTAGTAGTTCATGACTTAGTGGCCTTGTGCGTCATGAACAGACCTAGTGACATGTGTGGGTGTGTTTAGATGGTGAACCATAGTTTTAATAAGGATTATGATCGTTAATTTAGAAAGAACGAGAAGAGTTGGGATGGGGAAGTTAATGTTCATGTGATCGGATAAGGCTGTTGATGTATCTTCCAGACTCGTAGCAGAGACCTGTTTCGTCCTGGGGTTGGTTTGTTGGACAAAGTGGCCTGCTTCGTCACTTTGATCCGTGACTTGTTTCGTCACCTGAGCTTTGCCTGAGTTCGGACCGGGCCGAGATCGGATTGCGTGTAGTCCTCTAGCAGCCTGTTTCGCGGGATTGGATGCGCGTAGGGGATTTGTGAACAGCCAGTTATCCGGTGATAGGAGCGTTGACTCTGTGTGAGATGTGACCAGTGACCTGTTATAGGATGACTAGTTACTTGATCTCGTTTCTAGGCTAGGTATGACTTTTTGTGAGATACGGATCAGTTGTATTATCTTTTCATACATAGATCGAGATTAATATTCAATTATCTACAATTTGAGACATATATGGTATATACATGAGGGTTTCCTTGTTTGGATTATTTCGCTCGACGTACTACGTCTCATGTTGTAGATTTTTAAGTATTAATTCCATCTAGTTGTATGACCTTGTCGTCAGACTTAGAGGAAGAACAGGTTCAGCTGGAAGATCGCTAGGAGCCAGAGGATTCTTAGCTGAGTACTTAGAAGACCGAGCTGAAAAAGCCGAAGCGTAGTTATTCCCTCTAGTTGTTCGATGATCCTAGTTTACTTTTGTAGCATTTCTTTCCGCCTGATCGTTGTATTTTATATTCTCCAGTATCTCATTCAGATAGTTTGTATAAGGGTATGTTGGACCCGTATCATTATGTCTTGGATAATATTCATTTGTGATATGATATGTATTCTTTCATTCTGAGTTTGTCTATTATATTCTTGCTGATTGTGATCGGGGACCTGTGACTTCACGTTGTATTTGTTTCCAGACGCTTAGCGTATTGGATTGAGAAGAAAAGAAAAAGAAAGAAAAAAAAATTGATAGTGTATATTCTTCTCAATCTAATACGTCACGGGCTTGTTCACGTTCCGATTCCCGTGTATTTTGGGAAGCGGGGCGTGACAATTGAACAGAGCGGTGATTAATTTTGAACTGTTAAAATGGAGCGTATAAATTGGTTGTCTGAAGTCTTCATTCATTAACCTATATCCCTTATATCAGATTAAATTGTTAATTGAAAAAACATTCATTTATTACAGCAAGATTTAAGTTATATATCATTGTCGATAGCTACCATAGGTTGCATCCACATGTCCATTTTGTTTTTTTAGTTAATTGCTGAACAACCTTTGAATGTCTAGTGCAAACTGAACAAAGGTCTCAAAGCAAACTGAACAAAGTATGAACATAACTGATAAACATAAAAAGAACAACCTTTGAATGTCCAGTGTAGGCATATTCAGTCCAGTGCAGGCATATTCAGTCTAAATTCACAGAATTAACATATAAACATAAAAAGAACAAAGTATGAACATGGCTCCAAACAAAATATGACCATGAAATCCAACACTGGCAACAGGAAGCACTAGAATAACTTAGTATCAGGCTCAAAGTTCTCAAAGCTTAGTATCAGGCTCAAAGATCTCAAAGCTTCACGCAAACTAAGTGAGAACTTGATCAAACTTCTTTCCGCCAACCTTCTTTCCGCCAACCTTGATCAAACTTCACGCAATAGTGAGAACTTCATCTGTATTGAAAAACATTAAAAAACTAAGTGCTTCATCACTTTAAAAAAATCATATTATATTAAAAAATGGCAATATACAAGTTATTCTGTATGTATTAGCCATTACCTTCCTCAAAGGAATCTTCTAAATCATCAGTGGCTTCATCAATATTATCTTGTTCCATTGAATCACTAAAAAAGAGATGATAGCAAAACATATTAAATGATCATTGTACCAACTTAAAAAAGTTTAGAAAAATAAATGATACACTACCTTGACAACTTTAGAGGGCAATTTCTGCTATCATGATTTTTGTCCTCGCTTTCCACACAATTTGCATTTCCTAGGCTTGCATTTGCGGATCTCTCTCGAAGGCTTTAGCCTCTTCCCTTTAGGCCTTCCTTTTGTTCTTGCTTGACTTGGTTCATGAACTATATCTTGAGAACACTCTGCATTCATATAATGTCCTTCCACATCTTGTCCAATTTCTTCATCATTGATGAGTTTCAAACGTTGCACCTTATTAATAGCATCCATCATCATTTCACGCATTAATTCATATGCATCATTAGAAGATAGCCCCTCTTCAACCATTTCATTAGCTAAGCAATTTAGTTCACTAAAACGAGAAGCAAAATTAATTATGGCATTATCTCCAATAATATTATCATCTCTAAGAACAACCCTTTTTTTGACATTTCGGCACCATCTTTGTAACAACCGTGAATTTTGATACGTATTTAAATAAAATTTTCTAGTATTTAAAATATTATATTATATTTTATTAATACTTTTCCTAATTTCTGGAATTTTCTGAGTTTTCAAAATAAATAAATAATAAAATATATAGTCTTGTATTTTTTAATTCTGCTAAATATTAATTTACGGTTTAGTGATTTTTATATATAATCATTTGGTGATTAATATTATTAATGAC